CCACCCCCCCCCACCCCCACCCCCCCCCCCCCCCCCCCCCCCCCCCGGGGGGGGGAGGGGATGGGGGAGGGATATGAGTAATACATACCCATAATCCTAACACCCTGGAGGCAGAGGCAAGAGGCTGGCAAAGTCAACAACAACCCTAGCTACACAGTTACACAGTAAGTTCAGGGGGCTAGCCTGACTCTCAGAGCCAGCACGTGACTCAAAAAATAACACAGAATAAATGCACTTCAAGTGATTTAGATTTTCTATCTTACCATGAAAATGGAGATGAGATCCAGAATTTAAAGAATGCATAGTATTAGACCAGCCATGGTGGCGCACACTTTTAATCCTAGCATTTAGGAGGCAGAAACCAGTAAATCTCTGTGAGTTTGAGGATGGCCCGGTCTACATAATACAAAGCTACATAATCAAAAACCCTTGTCTCTCAAACAAACAAACAAACAAACAAACAAACCCAACCTGCTCCCTGACAACAGACTGCCGAGGATTAGAAGCAGGAACTTCTGAACGGAGTCTCCTTTCCACTTGTTCACACACAGAAACTGTCCTGGACGATATGGTGTTCACACTGAAATCCCAGCACTTGGAAGTCTCAACACAGGGGCCAAGCCAGCCAAGTGTACAGTATGAGACCCAGGCTCAAACAAAAAAGCCACAATCAACATGAAGAAAACCTCCTGCCTTGCCTGAGCTTTAAAAAAAAAAAAACAAAACAAAAACAACCACTATGTAAGTGGATTATATGCTTTATGTGGTCACATATTAAATAATTATTGCTAATTTTATTAGGTATGCTAGTAAGTAGGCATGGCAATTACGAACAATTCTGACACCTGAGCACCATCCTTGAAACCCATGAGAAAAAGCTGGATGCAATAAAATGCATGTGTTAACACTGGCCTACTGAGAAGCCTGGGGAGCCAGCCAGCCTAGAGCAGGTATCCGCAGAGACAGGGGACCTGCCTCATTACGGTGGAAGGACAGAGCTGACTCTAAAAAGTTGTCCTGTAACCTCTACATGCATGCCACAGTGCATGTGCACGCTCACAAACGCACACAGACACACACACCATGCATGCCTATGTGCACACATACACACACAAAAATTAAATACATAAAAATTGCCTTCCTCCAAACAAAAACAATACCAAGGTATACAACACTTTGACAAGAAAACTGAAAGCTGATCTCTCAAACTTCCCAACTGTGTGAACACAACGCGCATGCGCTAGCCCAGATCGCCGTCTGCCTTTTTGTGGCCATGCTCCCTCTCTACCAAACCCACAGATAGAAGACTAGGTGGGAAGAGTATTGCCAAGTTCTGTATCCCAAGTATGGGCGGGTGGATGGCATCAAAGACAACGTAAAAAGAAACTGGAAAGAGTCCACAAAATGGTAAAAATATTTGTAAATTACACATATGGCAAGAGATTTATATCTACATAAAGACCTTGTGATTCAATTTTTTAAAAAAGGCAAATAATCCAATTAAAATGGGGAAAATCAAGCAGATAGTTGTCATAAAGAAATACAGTGATCAACTAAGCAAATTAAAAGATGCCTAAACCATAGTCATCAAGTAAATGCAAACCAAAACTACGAAAACCTGCCTTTCCACATCTCACTGTTCTGTACTATAGACAGTAGTGATTGCTGGTTTAAAAGTGCAAATCACAAATGTTGGCAAAAGACGTGGAGAGGAGCACTGAGCACTGGGATGGAGTAAGCCAGCGTGGTCACTGGCGATGTCCCCAAAGCTAAGCATAGTCACCATGTCCCTTGCCTGTTCTACTCCTAAGCAGAGCACGGTGGCTTAGGCTTGTAATGCCAGTACTCAGGAAGCTCCAGGCCAGGCTAAGCTACAAAGTGAGACTCAGTTGCAAACTCCTTTCAAAACATCTGCTCGTGGGTATAGAGTCAAGTGTAAGAAAACACACCGCACATTAGCTCTGACAAACATACACAGCAGCATGACTCCTAAGAGCCTAAAGTGCATCTGGATGAACCAAGTCTGCCAACGGCAAAGGATGAACAACCACGGCAGCTACAGCATGAGGCCAAAACATCCTGCAGGGCCAGTGGTGTTCTAACGACATGAATCTCAGCACTCAGAGGCAGAGGCGGGTGGATCTCTGTGAGTTTGAAACCACCATGGTCTAAACCGTGAGTTCCATGTTATCCAGGGCTATACAGTGGGGCAGTTTAAAAAAAAAATTGAAAAAATATCCTAATTGGAGGAAGCCAGCCACAAAGAGGTCACAAATTATGTAATTCTATTTATATGAAGTGTTCAAAACAGGTAAATCTACAGAGACAACAGGTAAAAACCACTAAAGGTATTTCCTGGAAGCTGAGGGAGAGCAGATACGGGGAAGAATTCTAGTGGGTTTGTGTTTCTCAGGGGTGGTGGGGCTGGGAAACAGAATACTCAGAAATTAGTGGTAATAACTGCATGGCTTGATAACTGAAAAAAATGATGAGGTTTACATTTTTACAGGGGCAGCCCGCTTATACACTGAAGGCCTAAAATCATCCATAGGCCTAAAATCAGCAATAGGCCTGACATACATGCATGCTAACACAAAGTCTTGAGTCTCAGTGGAAAAACATTGAAACAGATGGCTATAAGCTATTGTGAACAGGCAGCTGTTGTGGAAATTTACCAGCCTGAGTAGTCATAGACCTTGTAAATAGGTAGCTTTGGCAGATAATACCAACTTAGATAAGGACAAGTGAAACATAGGCAGAGTCATAGTGACCTGTCCCCTGAACCTTCACCCAGCCAATACCCTGTTCTGAAAGATATCTGTACTCCCTCTGAACACCCACACTCCAGTGTCATTCCCTTCCCCACATCCTCCCTCTCTATGTTTATAACCCCTGTGTAAATAAGTAAAAATTACGATTTGATTAAAAAAAAAAAAAGGTGAGGCATATGTCACTAACTATAAGGCATATGTCATCTCAAATATCTCAATAAAGCTGTTTTTAAAGTCAGAGAGAGGGACTGGAAAGATGCTCAGTGGTTAAGAGTGCTAACTGCTCTTCCAAAGGACCTAGGTTGGGTTTCAATGCCACGTGAAGTCGTTCACACCTGCCTATAACTCAATTTCCAGGGGTCCTGGTGCCCTCTGACCTAAGGGTACAAGACACACACAAACTCACAAAGACACATACATACACATAAGTAAAGACAAATAAGTAAGTCTTAGAAAATAAATAAATGACCAAAAAAGATTAGCTACTGCTTAGTCAGAGACTGGTTGATCCAGAATGCTGTGGGTGTTCATTCTATGTAATTACAAGAACTTTTGTTTTGGTTTGGTTTTTCTAGACAGGGTTTCTCTGTGTAGCCCTGGCTGTCCTGGAACTCACTCGGTAGACCAGGCTGGCCTCGAACTCAGAAATCCACCTGCCTCTGCCTCCCAAGTGCTGGGATTAAAGACGTGCGCCACCACCGCCCCACAAGAATTTTTACATTTACTTATTCAGAGAGTGTGTGTGTGTTTATCACAGTTTACAAGTGAAGGTGTCAGAGGGCAACTTGCAGGAGTTGCCTTTCCCTTCTACCATGTGAGTCTTGGGGATCAAATTCAGGTTATCAGGCATGGCAGGCAGTAAGCATATTTTTCCTGCTAAATCTTGCTAGCCATCCCTGCTGAGTGGCCTCAAACTTGTATCCTCCTGCCCCAGCCTACAGGGTTCTGGGATTACACATAAACATCATTTTGACTAACTCATTCTATTATTCTTTCCAGAGTCTATTGGTCTGAAATCTTTCAAGGGTGTTGGGCAAAAATAACACTGTGTGTGCTCTGGGGCTCCACAGCAAGAGCCTGTTCACGGGGAGAAGGGATGACCTCAAGTCACAAACATGTCAGTATCAGATTCAGGGATTAAAACATGACCCAAATCACTAGCTAACAACTAAAAAGTCAGCAGACCTATCACTGAGGGACTCTTACCTGGCTGAGAAGTGTCAGTCCACCCCCTCTTGGCTCTTACACAATAGTCCCATCTTGTATTAGGGTCCTTGACAAACTTGCCAATATCTTTGAAGAGTTCACAAAAAGACATTTGGCTGGCTTGATACACTGTGTAGTACAGAAGAGCAGCCCTCCACAAAAAGGGGTCTTTTCTGAACAGGACACTGTGAATGCTTGCCAGTCCTTCCTCTGTAGGATTGTTTGGCTTCAGCTCATGTTTTTTTCGGCCAATCCAACTGTTCCACGGTTGCTGAAGGTTGTTAATGCCCCGAAAGTAATGTGTGCCTACAGAGAAGAAAACGTACAAATGATAAGAAATGGCATTCTTGCTTTGATCCTTTCCCAAAGGAAATTTGCATTTATCTAGAATATTCTTCCTCAGAGTCCCAGTGCTAAAGGCTTGTCCCCAACTTGGTGCTCCTGGTAGGTGGTAGGACCTTTAAGGTATAAGGCCTGGTGAAGGTGTGGAGAAGGGTATCGTGAGACCCTTTCCTACTGCTTTCTCTGCTTTCTTGACCACGTTCTGTGGCCACATGAGCCCACCATGATATGCTGCCTTACCAGGGTCAAGGGCAATAGCATTGGCCCACAGGGAGCTGAAACCTACAAAATTATGAGCAAAACTAAACATTTATTTTTTAAGCTTACTGTCTTGGCTACATGAGACCTTGTCTCAGAAACAAATGGACAGACAACAAACACATTTCCAAGATCCCAAAGCCAAAAAAGGTCTTTCATGGTTCCTTTCCCAGTAAGTATGTACTTGGGAGCTAAGGACAATCAAGCAAAGATCCCGATGACGTCTTTTAGTGTTGCTGGTTACAGCTGGTCAGCTCACCTGGGAGGCATCTCAGACTAGGATTGTAGCCACTCCACCAGCATCAGAGTTCCTGAATGCTTACAGTTCACAGGTTTAGTCCGTTATTGTCATGGTGGGAAGCATGGCAGCAAGACAGCAGAGAGGGTTCTAGAGAAGGAGCTGAGAGTTCTACATCTGGATCCTGACTCTGGAGTCAGGCCTTCAAGGCCAAAGAAAAGAAACAAACTCCTTAGAGCACAACAGTATTCTCTGTCGTGCCTCTGCTGGTTCAGGCCTGACAGTTTTAAGCTCTATACTAAGTACAGCCTGCTCCTGCTGAGATGAAATCTTTCATCTGCTTGAAAGACTCCAATGTCATGAGCTCCAGACTCCTTTGTTGCCTTAATCCCACAGACACACCTCTACCCAAGGGCAAGTCAATAACTTCAAAGGCAACCATGGATGCACTTTTATATTTCCCAGAGAGTTCCACTGGAGAGGCACCCCAAACACCATAACCAATGGCCCCACCTAGGATGAAGAAACCAGATTCTGTTATCAGCCCAAATTTCCTGATGACAGTTAGGGTTACCTCTTGAGGGAGGGGAAATAATGAGAACAAGAGGTAGAAACAAGGCAGAAGTTTAAGGATGGAGCCTCAGTTTATGTCTCTGCCAATAAGCTGAAGATAACCTTGGTCCTGTCCTGAGTGGAGGCCAGAAATGGCAGAAGTTAGCTCTGGCTCTTTGTCTCAGCCTAAAATGAACAACCCTGATTGGAGGATGCACAGAACGGCAGGACTGAACAACAGTCAGACAACAGTCCTTTCTGGCATCAGCTTTGGAACTGGCTTTCTAGATTGTCATAGTAAAATGGTGTCTTAGTTAGGGTTTCTATTGCTCTGAAGAAACACCAAGAACATATCTTATAAAGAAAAACATTTAATTGGGACTGGCTTACAGTTCAGAGGTTCAGTCCATTATTGTTATGGTGGGAAATGTGGTGGCATGCAGGCAGACAGGGTGACAGAGAAGGAGCTGAGCGTTCTACTTCTGGATCCACAGGCAATAGGATGTGGCTTGAGCTTCTGAGACCCCAAATTCCACCTCCTAATGATACACCTACTTCAACAAAGCCACACCTAATAGTGCCAGTCTCTATGGCCAAGCATTCAAACATGAGCCTATAGGAGCCATTCCTATTCAAACCAGCACATTCCACTCACTCCCTGCCCCCATAGGCTTGGAGCCATAACATAATGCAGAAATGTATTCAGTCCAATTAGTAAAGTCCCCATAGTCTGTAACAGTCTCAAGCTTGTTTAAACACCCAAAGTTCAAGGTCTCTTCTGAGTATCATGCAATCTCTTTGCTGTAATCCTTGTAAACTCAAAATGAAAAAGCAGGTCACATACTTCCAATAGGATATATGTTACCATTCCAAAAGGGAGGAAAGAAAACATAATGAGGAAAAACTGGACCAAAGAAAACCAGCTGGGCAAAATCCAAACTCTGCCTCTCCATATCTGACAGAGAAATGCTCTTCAGATCTCCAATTCCTTTCAGCTTTGTTGACTGCAGCACACTTCTCTCTCTTGGGCTGGTTCCACACCCTGTTAGCATTTTTTTTTTTTTTGGCCAGGTATCCCATGGCTTTGGCATCTCCAACAACTTGGGGTATTCAATCCAGACTTCACCTTTCACAGCTTCACACAGTGGCCTCTCTGGGCCTCCATACGGGGACACCCCTGGCACATGCCTGGCCTCAGCACTTTCCTTAGTCGTGGGGGGAGATTCTATAAACCTTTTCTTCTATCCTTGGCTCTAAAGCCACATGGCTGAAGCTTCCTAGTTCTATTAGTTGCCAGGGCTGGAATGGGACCTCTTCATTCAAATACATCTTCATCAGCTTTCTGTTTTCTTTTTTTTTTTTTCCTTTCTTTTTCTTTTGAGACAGGGCTTCTCTGTGTAGCCCTGGCTGTGCTGGAACTCACTCTGTAGACCAGGCTGGCCTCGAACTCTCGAACTCAGAAATCTGCCTGTCTCTGCCTCCCAACTGTTGGGATTAAAGGCGTGTGCCACCACTGCCCGGCAGCTTTCTATTTTCGATAGTTTCCTTCAGTGCCTAAGCTTGGCTGTCCTGAAATTCCATCTGTAGATCAGGCTGGCCTCAAACTCAGAGATCTACTCATCTCTGCCTCTGGAATTCTGGGATTAAAGGCGTGCATCACCACACCCAGCCCTAAACTTTCATCAATTCCTTTTTACAAACTGGAAGCTTAGCTGGGTGACATCTTGTCCAGAGGCCACTGCTCCCTTTTAAGGCTTTTCTTTAATCTGCTTATCTCCTTGAACACAGGACTTAGCTCCATTTCACTTCTTGGTGTCCCCTTTCTCCTTGAACTGCATATTTTGTATTTTTCCTTGCTCAGCTTGACCCTTTCATTATAGATCTTTGTAAGAGTGAACATTAATTAATAACCACACAACAGAATCAATACTAGTTTATTTTGAAATTTCCTCTGCCAACCTAACTAAACCAGATCGCTTCACTTAGCCTCAGGCAGACTTTTCAGCCGAAGGCAGAAAGCAGCCACATTCTCAGCCCAAATTATCAGAATGATCTCTAGGCCACTTACAAACATTCTCCTCTGAAACCTCTTGAGCGGGGTCACCACAGTTCAAGTTACTCTTAGAACCACTGTCTTTCATGCTTCTACTAGTGTGGTCCATTAAGCCCCACTTAAATCGTTAAACTACTTTTCTAATCCAAAGTCCCAAAGTCCACATGATCAGGCTTATCACAATAATATCCCACTCCTGGTACCAAATTCTGCCTTAGTTAGGGTTTCTATTGCTATGAAGAGACACCATAACCATGGCATCTCTCATAAGGGAAAACATTTAATTGGGGCTGGCATACTGTTTCAGAGGTTCGGTCCATTATCATCTGCCCTGACCCACAGGGTGGTGAACTGGGACTGGGGAAACCACCTGAAAGAGAGAATGGGGGACAAGGGGCGCGAAGAATGGACAGCAAGTCAAGAAGTCTGATCAAGCTGTCAAATTTGTATTGTTCCCACACCAGGTTATATACACATAGAAGCAGGATATGGAGTAGGGGGGTGGTGTAGGGTCTCTTTGTTTCTGGGGAGCACAGTGTTCTCAAGAACAGGACGTTGGGTGGGTGAAAAGTTCAGCAGCGGAGACAGAGCAGAACAGGTTGCTAGGTACCTGTCTATAAGATCTATAGTTATTTGTTCTTAACTAAGCTAGTACTTTTCCATCGAGGCTACCCGTCCACACACTCTACAGCTGTTTGTTCTCAACTGGGTTAGCTCTTTCCAACAGAAGCCAAGACTTTGTGCCAGTAAGTAAGCACGTATGTCTGACAAGGCAGTTAACATTTAAGCAAGGTCCCTCCCAACAATCATCACGGCCGGAAGCATGGCAGCATGCAGGCAGACATGGTGGTGGGGAAGGAGCTGAGGGTTCTACATCTGGATCCACAGACAGCCTTGGGCGTGGCTTGGCTTCCGAGATCTCAAAGCCCGCCCCTTAGCCACCACCTCTAAAAGCCACGCCTACTCCAACAAGGCCACTTCCTGTGGCCAAGCACTCATCACACGAGTCAATGGCCACCGTTCCTATTCAAACCACCACAAACGGGTTCTATCCATTTCCCAACTATAGCCTGACTCATAAAGGATTTTGGCCTCTATCAGAGGATCAGATGTTACACTCGCAATATAAAGCTATTTCCTTTTGTTCAAGAGAATGGAATATATCTTTGGCCGTTGGTAGAGACCTAAGGACCACCTTGTAGCAAAGCGGGTTTACTTTAAGCCATGCTGAAGAGATGGAGAAAATAAACATCCCTTAAATAAGATGATATACTTTCCCTTCCCAGAAAGCAAACCTCTAGTACAGTGAGCCTGTGTTAGCCCTGCTGACTTCTCTGAGTCTGTAATTAGAAAGGGGTGTGGCAGAAATTTCCCTGTCCAATGCGGGAGGCCTGTGATTGGACAGGTAAAAGGGGGTGGAGCTAAGGGTGGCAGAGTTGGGGACTCAGAGACACAGGGTGAGAAAAAGGTGGCAGAAGAAGGTAGTTGTGCATAACAAAAGGTTAGGATAACTGGGATAACTTGTCTAATTGTGTGGGCATCTTGGGTATTTAGATTTTACTGATATATTAAATCCATTGGTTAACTATAAGCTTTAGAGTTTTGATTTATTGGGTTAATGGGTATTGTGATATCGAACTGCGAGGAGGGTGGTTATTGCATGGGGCTAGCCTAGCGCCGTGGAGGTGGCAGGGTTGGCATAGGGGCCAGGCCAAGAGCCGTGGAGGAAGGTGGAGGCAGCAGCCACTCCAACTTCTTGGGAGCCCTGGCAGGCATGCCAGCATTAGTGCAGGAACATGGCAGCTAAGCCTGGAGCCAGCTGGACACCTCTTTTCTAATACCTCCTGCAACAGAGGGGTAACCTTCCTTTTTTCCTGTCTCTTGCGTAAGCATACACGCCCTCAATTTCAGATTCGGAACTAAAACCAAAAGGATGGAAATGACTTCCCGAGACAGTGTTCTAAAATTCTAATTGGAAATGACACACAGCTCCTGCGAAGCTTAACAACACTATGAAGTTTTACTAACTACTACTACTAAAGAACCACTCTGAAAGAACAGCAGGTAATTCTTGACAATCAAATGAGTAGGTGGAGAGGGTGCCCCTACCTATCTCGTGCCTCAGCATGCCCTCCAGCCAATGCTCTCGTGCAGTAGAAATATTGATGGTTAGAGTTGGGCATCCGTTTACTACTGTCATGGAAGCCCTGGAAAGCAGGTCTTCGGTGAGATGAACTACAATCTAGGCAGCAAGAGGAAAAACACACACACAGGGCTGGTGAGACGATGCAGTGGGTTAGAGTACGCAACATCAAGGCTGACGACCCAAGCTCTCCAAAACCAACACGCTCCCAGGAACTCCCGAATGTTGTTCCCTTGTCCTGTGAGTATCATACACACTGTGGCATGCATGTTCCCATATACTGATAACTATATAATTGTACAATATACACATGCGCACTCATGCATACACACACACACACACATACACACACGTAAAGGAAGAAGAAAGTTTTTGCAAAATATAATGAGTCTATTCATTATCTAATTAAACTAAGTTGATGAAATGTACATCCATCACATTTTTTTTTTTTGATACAGGGTTTCTCTGTGTAGCCTTGGCTATCCTAGAACTCACTCTGTAGACCAGGCTGGCCTTGAACTCAGAAATCTGCCTGCCTCTGCCTCCCAAGTGCTGGGATTAAAGGCGTGTGCCTCCACTGCCTGGCCATCCATCACATTTGAACTTTCTAATTTGTTTTGTTTTGTTTGCTTTTGAACCTTATAATTTTAACCCTCTGAAAATTTAAGAGTGTTCACTGGATTGAAAGGAAAGGAAGGAGGCTGGTTGTGGTAGCACACACCTTTAATGCCAGCACTTGGGAGGCAGCAACAGGAGGACCTCTGTGAGTTCAAGTCCACTCTGGTCTATATAGCCAGTTCCAGGACAGTTAGGACTGAAAGAGACTTTGCCTTTAAAAAGAGGAAGGGAGGGAGGGAGAGAGGAAACGAAAGAAGACAGAAGAAAGAGCACACCCGAGACTAGAGAAACTAAAGCAAGAAGAACAAGGTGTAGGCTGCAGAGAGAATTGCAGGCCCACTCGAGCGACTTAGTGAGATCCTGTATCAAGCAAACAGTAAAGAGGGGATAGAGCTTCATGGCAGAGTGCTTGCCCAAGCCTCAAAACCCATACAGAACTGGAAAGAACTACTGTGTGTGTGTGTGTGTGTGTGTGTGTGTGTGTGTGTGTGTGTGTGTACGCCAGAAATCTGCACCTTGTCAGTTCTGGTTTTGAGACTGATGACTAAGAACACTGCAGCAAAATCTCTCTTCACTGAGAAACTCACACGATGCTATAAGCTACATATACAGGAATGACAACCAGTAAAACAGGACTGACCAGACAAAACCTGTAGAAAAGAGCATGCATTTCACACTAGTCTTGAGTGCCAGAGCTGCAGCCAGGCCCGGCCCACCCATGGCCCATACCTCTCCCAGGCCCCGCCCACCCATGGCCCATACCTCTCCCAGGCAGCCTTCCTTCACCATGTACTTCCTAACGTGACTCCAGATTCGAGTTTTAGACAACAAGCTACCACCAGTAGCTTGTTCAAATTTTTCATAACTTCCATATTTCTGTAAAGTCAGCTCCATAATATTGATGGACTGTAAAAGAAAGGGAGATTAAATCAACAGCTCATATCACTCTGAGATGAAGTTAGCTAGTTAAGACCTGACTTGTCAAAATGTGTTCAGATTTACTAGTTACAGGGTTAAGCTGAAATTCCAGCTGCATATTTTTCTAAGCTTAAACAGTTTCCACTGAATTTTGGAAATGTCTATAAATGCCTGTGAATTTACAAGTGCTCTTGCTGGCCCGCCCAGTGGCACACTCCTGATCTACACCATGGGATCCCCCCAGGGCTACACAGTGAGACTGACTGAAAAGGAAAGAAGGGGGTCAGGGATGAAAGAAACACTCTTCTTCCCTGTCTTCCAGTCTCTTTAGCCAGAGACGCAGCGGCTGACACACTGCACATCGCACCTGTAACTGCCACCAGGAGACGCTGGCAGTGAGGACACTGGCTTGTTGACAAGATACATGGTGGTTAGGAAGAACTCCAGTGTACACCAAGTATGTCTCCAGATCAGTTAGTAGGTTACAAGTGCCATTTAGATAAAGAGGAAAAAACTTAAAAATTTAAAAACATACAAGCAATCTATAAAATCACCTCTGTAACAATCTATAAACTCTGTTTAAGATACATCTATTTATTTATTTTCTTGTGTATTATAGGTGTTTTGCCTGTGCACCACTTGGATGCATCTGCTTTTTTGGACAAAGTAGCAAAAAAAATTATTTAAAAGGCAAGCAAAGGTCTGATCAAAAATAAACACAGCAGATCCCAAGACTGAAAGAGTACTGAAGAGCCAAAGCCAGCTTCTGTTCTGGTGACAAAAATAATACTCCTTGGTGACAGTGAGGAGGAGGAGGAGGAAGATGAGGATGATGATGGTAACAGTCTTAAGATATTTCCATCTTTCATTTAAGGCAATGTACTATCCACTTCTCATCATCTTAAAAAGTTGAGACATTTTCCCAAATATACACAAAGTGAAGATTAATTAAAAATCTGGTAAGGAAACAGGTTGTGTGCTGGACTCCTTCAAGACGCAAACAACCCAGCTTGGTCTAGGCCATGATCTGTTCCCATCTGTAGTTACTCGATGAAGTCATGTACATGACCGTTCTGTATCAATAAATGTGCCATTTTTATAAAAAAAAAATCTGGTAAGGAACACAAATTATCAGAAACCTCCAAGAAGCTGGGCAGCGGTGGCACACGCCTTTAATCCCAGCACTTGGGAGGCAGAGGCAGGTGGATTTCTGAGTTCGAGGCCAGCCTGGTCTACAGAGTGAGTTCCAGGACAGGACAGCCAGGGCTACACAGAGAAACCCTGTCTCGAAAAACCAAAAAAAGAAAGAAAGGAAGAAAGGAAGAAACCTCCAAAAAAAACCACAGGAAGTAAGAATCTAAGTCGGAGGAAACCAGAAAATCCCATGTGTGTTATGTCACTGCCCTCTGGGGCGCTGCTCTGGCAGAGCCACCTGGTCTAGTTCCCAGCACTCAAGCAGCGTACAGGTCTGTAACTAGTTCCAGGGCACCTAACTTCCGGTCTGGTCTCCATAGGCATCAATGCATTTGCCACACTTACACACAGGGAAAACACCCATACATACAGAATTAAATAAATCTTTTTAAAACCACTCATATTCAGAACATAAAAAACAAAATCTTCAAGGAAACTTATGGGGTCTGGAGAGATGGTTCAGTGGTTAAGAGCACTGACTGCTCTTCCAGAGGTCCTGAGTTCAATTCCCAGCAACCACATGGTGGCTCACTACCATCTGTAATGGGATCTGATGCCCTTTTCTGGTGTGTCTGAAGACAGCAACTGTGTATTCACATATATAAAATAAAACAAAAATTAAAAAAAAAAGAAAACTTATGAAAAGAAATCTAGTTTCTGGGCTGTTGTGAGACTGGTAAAGACAATGGCTGCTTCCGAGCTGAGAAGGTGTGGCCGACCTCTGTCATAAGTGAATGTTAACCAGCACATCCTCACTGATATAGGTCCTATCTGTATCAGCACTATATACAACACATTTGATATGTCAAAATGAGAGGGGAAAAAAATCACATCACAAAGTGTGAATCAATACATGAATACATTACTAAGGAACTAGGGATGCGTCATAAAGTTATCACAACTCAAAATTACTCCAATGGGCTTTTGCTGCCCAAACACTCCTGGCAGCCTTGCTATTCAGGAGGGCCACGGGCAGTGGCACTGGGATAGCTAGGCTGTTTCTAAACGCAGGTCTTGACCCACAGCTGATCTCTATGCTATTAAATCAGAACCTGGTTTTTGTTTTGTTTGTGGGGGGCGTTGTATTGGCTGATTTTTTGTGTCAATCTGACACAAGCTACAGTCATCAAACAGGAAGAAGCCTAAGCTGAGGAAATGCCTCCTCCATGAGATTTAACTGTAAAGCAGTTTCTTAATTAGTGATCAATGGGGGAGGGTTCAGCCTATTTGTGGGTGGTGCCATCCTGGGCTGGGTTCCATAAGAAAGCAGGCTGTGTAAGCCAGGGGAGGCAAGCCAGTAGGCAGCACCCCTCAATGGTGTCTGCATCCGCTCCTGCCTCCAGGTTCCAGCTGTGCTTGAGTTCCTGTCCTGAGCTTCTTTAATGATGAACAGTACCATGGACGTGTAAGCTATTCAATAAACCTTTTACTCCCCAACTTGATTTTTTTTCGTGGTGTTTTGTCACAGCAATAGACAGAGACGGTGTTTTTTGAGACAGGGTCTCACTGGAATTCTGTAGAGCAGGCCAGTGTCAATTCACAGACATCTGCCTGCCTCTGCCTCCTGAACACTGGGATTAAAGGTGTGCAGCCCCACATTTGGCTCCAGAACCTGCTTTGGTTGGTTGGTTTTGGGATAAGATTTCTCTGTGTAGCCCTCGCTGTCCTGGAACTCATTCTGTAGACCAGGCTGGCTTTGAACTCACAAGAGATCTGCCTGCCTCTGCCTCCTAAGTGCTGAGACTAAAGGAGTGTACCGTGGTAAACATCCTGAAGTTCATCCTAAGTTTAAAACTAGCTAAGACATGTAAACACTTCATCTATAAAATGAAAATCTTTTTCTCTATAAAATGTCCATTGTTGTCTTTGATGAGACAGCAAACGTTCTGAACAACCTCAGTGCTCTGCTAACAGATCTGCTTTAGTTTACTAGCTGATTTTGTTTTTTGTTTGGAATCTGACCATCACATGCTACTTCCACAGTTATGTGCTAACAAATAATCTCTCCTCTCAAGTACAGTTTCATTCAGTGAAACCTATTTACAACGGAGACACTGATACAGGAGGATCGGTGACCCTGTTGGAAAAGGAATGGTTGGTTAGGAGGCCTGGCTGCCATAGGGCTCTGCCACTTAGCAGTGTGATTCTACTTTTCCTAGGCTTGCTCTCTTCACCAGAAACATGGAGATGCAAGTCCTTTACCCTCCTTACCTTACGGAATTGTTGTAAGGACAAAATGGAAATGAGGAAGTCCATGCTCTGTAATCTATTTCCCAGATCACTATATAGCATTGAATTTGTCAGGACTGCTAGCCTTTCATTTTAGAATTTAGTGCCAGTATTTTGCCCTCTACGTATTTTATTAGGGGCAGTGTCTTTCCTATGTTGCTAATATCCAACCGCAATACCCCATTTCCTTTCTTTTCAAAAAGTTGTAAAATCTAACATTTTTCTCCTTAATTCTGAATAACTTAAATAGACTCCTAGACTCAATAGACCATCTTACCTTAGTCTTTTTTTATTTTAAAGAATTACTTATTCACTTTAAGTATGAGTACACTGTTGCTGTCTTCAGACACACCAGAAGAGGGCATCAGATCCCATTACAGATGGTTGTGAGCTACCATGTGGTTGCTGGGAATTGAACTCAGGACCTCTGGAAGAGCAGTCAGTGCTGTTAACTGCTGAGCCATCTCTCCAGCCCCTACCTTAGCCTTTCAAATACTCAGACTACAGGCATAATCCAATTGTACCCTACAAGATTTTATGTGGGGGTGTGGGGGTGGGAGGGAGGACTTCAGATAGTGTCTCACATAGCCTAGGCTGGCCTTGAGCTATGTAGCCTAGGGTAACCTTGACCTATATCGTCCTGTCCGAAATTCTCAAGGTGCTAGGATTATAGGCACAGCAGTCTTACAACCCCACCTTTAAAACAATACAGCAGGGGACGGAGAGGCCTCAGAGGTTCATTGGCTGCTCCTGCAGAGGACCCACACATTGAATAATTGTTTTGTAATGAACCCGGGGCCTCATACACTCTAGGCAAGAGCTTTAGCACTGAACTATAGCCCTGAGCTGTCCACTGTGGGCAGCATCATTCCCTGGGCAGGCAGGCCTGGAGTGTATAAGCAGCTGGGTAAGCATGGCCCTGCCCTGAGTGACCCATCAAGCAGCATGTTTTCACACTTTCTGCTGTTCTCCCTTAGCTATGGGCGAGTTCCCTGGTTAGTGTAATGCTTCATGGAATTGCAAGCAGACCTGCCTTCTAATTCAAGCAGTGACTTCCCTCAGTGATGAGAAGCCATAAGCCAAAATAAATCTTTCCTCCATCATATTGCTTCTGGTCTGTTTTATCATAGCAATGGAATGAAACCAGAAGTAGCCCTCCCTGGATAGCTCATACTGGAGATCTTTCTGCCGAAGCCTCTGAAGTGCTAGGTGACATGTATGCACAGCCTCAAAAGGTTGTCTTCAGCACTGAGGGGAGGTAATTAAATAATATTTTTACAATTATAAAATTTAAATTTACAAAAGTCTGCTCAATAACTCTAAGTCCTGGGTTTATAGGAGTGTGCTTCCATCTCTACCTTATAAAGCTTTTTAAAGTACTTAAAATGATTTTAAACATGCCATGTATCCTATGTAATAATAAAGAAGAGAAGACAAAAGGCAGAAGGATGATTGGAACTAAAAAGAACAGCAAACTAGGCCTGGGGTGTAGCTCAATGGGCAGAGGGCTTGCCTAGGATGCTCGAAGCCCAGGGTTTGATCCCCGGTCCTGCATAAAGTAAGCAATTGGACAGTCAGAAGGCCAAGGTCATTTTTCCTACACAGGAACTCTAGACCAGGCTGGGCCATCTGAAATCCTGTCTGAACAACAAAAAAAGGGTGAGTGCTCACTGGAAAACACGAAGCAAGAGAAGAAGAGTTGTTCTACCAAGGGAAATACACAGCATATTTCAAATCATTTAAAGAACTTAGAAAAGCGTTATAAAGTAGGTATGGAAGTACACTCCTGTAATCCTAGGACTCAGAGTTCATTTTAAAACTGTGTGTGTGGTGTGGCACACACATGCCTAGGAAGTCAGGACAATTTACAGCCAGTTCTCTCTCACCACCTTGTCTTTGGGACTGACTGATCTGGGGTTGTCAGACTTAGTGGCAGGAGCCTTTCCCTGCTCAGCCATCTCAGTAGCCTGGTTCCAGTACTTGGGAGGTGGAAGCAGAGAGATCTGGAGTTCAAGGTTATCTCCAGTCATACTGTAAATCCGAGGTTAGCCTAGGTTACTAGATCTTGTCTCTTGTGTGTTTATGAAAGTATGTTATACGATGGTAGAACAACTGCCCAGCATGTCCAAGACCCTGGGTTTGCTCTCCTAGACCCCAAGGGGGAAAGCACAGATAGTGCAGTCTGCCTAACCCTTATCTGTAGCCCTTATTTGTTGGCTAATCAGCCACAAATTCATAATTCTAAGTCAAAGCATAGAATAGTGTCTTCTAGTCAGAGAACACAGTGCAGAGTCTGTAGATTTTCATTACAACAACATAGTTCTCATATAGGTGAAAAACCACTCACATACAAATTTCTTATCACATAGCTACCCCTCTCTGGTGGGAGTTGGTAATAGAGGATATGAAGGTATCTCCTTTGCTTACACAATGGTAGATAATCGCTTTAGCTACTTAACGATGAGCTACTACTACAAAAGTGGCATTTTACCTGCTTAAGAAACCTGTCAGAGGCGGTGCTGTGCTTGGCTAACACACCTGGCAGAGTGGGGTTGGCATACTCAAACTGAGGGTTGTAAGTAAAATCTGACTTGAAGAACCGCAGCTTTTCTTTCTCCAGGTTGATGGGCTTTATCGCCGTCAATATACAAAGCTTTTTCCCAGAGAGGTCATCTCCTTTCTCAAAGCTTCTACACAGCTGGGGCTGCTGCTTTGGCTTTGGAAGAGGGGTCAGATTGCGTCGTTTGACCTTGCTTTTCGGTTTAGGTGGCAGTGTTAGGCCGCTTCCTGTAACAGAGATATCACAGGTAAACTTTACAGGACTTGGTACTGAACTAGTGACAAAAACAGCAGACTGCTTATCTAGGCAGTACCAAGTACCAGTGCTTGTCACAGGCACCAGGGCTGTCATCCTGTTAGGGTCTTTGCTATGAGAGGAACTGGGAGATTTGCTGGGCTTTCTATGTTGTTTGGAGCAGGCAGAGGAAAACCGCTTTTGTGAATGGTGCTTTTTCTCCTCCTTGCTCTGTAGTAGGACATTGTAACTACTGGTTCCAGTTGTGAAAGTGTCCTTGAGAACTCCAGAGGACAAACTCGAAAAGCTTCTTTTGCTGTCAATGATCAATGCCTCTTCTGCATTTAGAACAAACTTCTTAGCAAGTTCATGCTCAGGCCAGTGAAGCTTTTCTGTGATAATAAACAAAACCAAAACAAAGAGACAACAGAGAAGCCAGATGAAGCGCACTGCGGATTAAATGGAAACTACCCTGAAGCTTCTGTCAGCTTTATAAGCCCGCAAACGCCTTGAGCTCAAGCAGTTAACGGTGCTATCACTGTGCCCACAAGCTATCTACTGACATGCTCAGCTTCAGGCTACAAGTGTGCTGGAAGCCTAGTAAGATGAGATAATGCACATAAATTCTCTGAATGCCTCGTTCCCGTGAGCGGCACAGGGACAGACCGTATGACGCCAGATCACCATCCAAGACTTAGACACAACTTTGACATTTGGGATTAAATACAAAGATAACCATAGGAAAGGAAGCGTGCTGTGCTCACACCTGAATCAAAACTCAGGAAACAGAAGCAAGAGGACTGTCTGGAGTCTGAGGCCAAGCTGGAGTAACCAGTAAGCGCTAACCCAGAGCTGCACGGCAAGACCTTAGTTAACACAAGCTAGCTGGCTGTGGTGCCTAATGCCTTTAGTCCTAGCACTAGTGAGGCAAAGGCAGGAGGATCTCTGAGTTCAAGACCAGTTCCAGGATCAAGTTCCAGGAAAGCCAGGGCTAAAGAGACACCCCCTCAACCCCCCCCCCACGCCAATACCTCAAAAGTACAAACACAACAGTACTTTTCTACCTTAAAAACATCTTTAAGATTTGAAAGATGACAGCTGGGGGCAGTGGTGCACGCCTTTAATCCAAGCACTTGGGAAGCAGAGGCAGTGAATACATATGAGATTGAGACAGCCTACTCCACAGTGAGTTCCAGGTCAGCCAGGGCTACACAGTGAGACCATGTTTAAAAAAAAAATCAACTGATGATATGTGTGTGTGCAAGCATGTCTCAGTAAGGTCAGTCACTATTACTAATGTGT